TCCCTCAAGATTTCCTGATCTTTGGTACCCTATAAGATAACACCCCTAAACCCTAAACCCTAAACCCTAAACCGTGGACTACCCTGACCGTGGCCCCTCAGAGTTGAATCATTCGCCCGACACTCAACCCTTACAGTGCCCGTACAGCGACCGCTTGAATAGCCCTTGTAGTCCTTGGAGGTTCATGGGACTTGGTAATTAAGTACACTTATAACTACCTTAACCAAGATTATATGTGATTGCAATACCCTAAACCCTAAACCCTGCAAGTATAGAGGCCCTTTTATAATCCTAGTTATTAAGTCCCATGGACCCCCAGGTGCCCACATCCCCATCCCCTGCCGCCTCCTCGAAGTTTGTGTAGTTGAAAGCCTTGACCACCTTCAGGGTTCAGGGTTTAGGGGTAATCTTTGAGGGTTTAGGGTGCAGAGGTTTTGGTTTTTTTTTGCCTCCTCCTTAGGTTTTTGGGTGTAGGGTTCAGGGTTTAGGGGTTTCGAGGCTTTCGGGTTTAGTAGGGTCAGGGCTTCGGTCTGAGCAGGCTCTTCTCAAGAACCATAGCTCATCGGCTTGTTTTCGGTTTTGGTAGGGGCATCGCAGATGTCTCATTTTTTCTCTGAAGATCCGTTGCTCAAGTTTCGGGGTCATCCTGGTGCTTGCCACGACTACGATGCGTTTCCGCAGTGTGCTCCCACAGTGCCAGTGCCACCAGACCATCCCCAAAGAGCCGCATACCCCTGAATTCAGGAAGATACTTTAAATCATAATATCAAAGCCCCTATAATTTAAGGTATATTCCCTCTTTACTGGAAGGGGTATTGGGCTCTCTCTGGGAATCAGGACGAGCGCAAGAAGAAAACCATCGCTCCAAGAAAGCGGGAACGCGAGGAAGAGGCCGACCAGGTGCATTTTCCCATGTAATGCCGGTTGCGCGGGTGCGAAAACTAATCACGCGTTCCCAAGAAGATTGCACCAAACACCGAACCACATGCGCAACACCATGCGTTGCACAATGTCTGCTGCCTATCGGCTTCCTTTCTGCCACGAACTAACTGACCGGCTTTTTGATCGACGAGTATGTTGAGAAGCCAAACTGACTCCGACCAGACGACGAACAAGTTGCCTGAGGCAGCAGGTGATTCGAAAGGGGTCTCTGGCCGGAACTTTCATGCCTTTCGGGCCAGGTGACAGGACTCATTTCACCAGCGATCTGGCGACAAGCAGCCCGAGGCAGTTACAGAACTACAACCTCGACCCCGCGCATTCGTGACATAGTAGCAAAATTAACAGAGAAAACCAAAGAAATGCACTCCTGGCTGGCGTCGCGAAAGCCCTTAGAAGAATGCGCAGAGGAGGTTTAGATTAGGGTTACTTGCGCAGTATCCTGAAAAAACTCAAGGTTAACCTTGTGGTTTCTCACACCCCGACAAGGCTAAAGGTTGCCGACTCTGCTACTAAGAGCTCGAAAGCCCGTTTTTTTGCATCCAGACTCTGCCAATTAGCTGGGAAGCAGCACTTCCAAGCTCGAAAACCAAAAAACCACAACCTAAAGTCTAATTCGAAGGTTGAGGGCTTAGGGTTTAGGGATTTGAGGACCCTAAACCCTAAAACCCTTTTTCTGAGGAGGGGCTGCAGCGCACATGCCTCCATGCCCGCCTCACCCCACCCAAAAACCCTAAACTTCCTAAACCCTGAAGCCCTAAACCTTAAACCCAAGCTCTAATCCGAAGCTTGTAGGATCTGAGAACCCAAAAACCCTAAACTCCCTATACCCTCAAGCCGTAAACCTTAGACCCAAGCTCTAACCCTAAGCTTGAAGGATCTGAGAACCTTCTCCGGGTTCGACTTGAGCTCCGACTGGCCTTGATCGCTCAGCCTGGTCCAAGGCCATGCTTGTCCATGGGGCTTTACTTGGAGGATCATGGGACTTAGTAAGTAAGGTTATAAGTATCCTAATTGGGGTTATAATTATAGTTACCTTGTTTATAACCCTATTTACTAAGTCCCATGATCCTCCAAGTATGGTTTTTTTAGTCGGGTGTCTATAGGATTTATACGGGCTTATGAGTTTCTATAGGGGTTTGTAGACTCTCATGCAGGAGACGAATCAAGAATTCATGGCTGCAGCTGGAGTTCTTAATGTGGAGGGTTTGTGGCATGCATGCCCAGGCCATGTGGGGGTTTCCAAAAATAGGGGACCCTAATATAGTACCCTAAAACATAGAATCCTTATTATAAGGACCCCAAAATAAGGTACCCTAATTTTCGGAAACCCCCATGTGTTTCTTACTTCTTACTCACAGTTCTACGTTAAGGTCAATGTGAGGCCTTGCGCTGTCAGCACATGCAAGGCGCAGACTGTTGAATGCTCGCTCTGTCTCTGTCTCGATTATAAATTATATTTCTTTTATATTTATTATATATGTATGTATTTGCTTTTTTGTGGTATATGTTAACATATTGCAACAATCAGATCATCATATAACATATATATATATACACACACTATCTACTATATATATATATATAGTATATGTTAACATATTAATTACATAGTCAGATTCCAGATCATAATACAAATAAATCAATATGTATGTATGTATGTATGTATATATATATATGTTATTCCCTCTCTGCGACCCGCAACTCTGTCTTGGGTTCGGCCGCTGCGGCACACTCACTCATCCTTCACTCATCCGAAATAAGCTGGACCCGAAACTCCATTCAGCTCGGTGGCAGAGGGATGTGAGGTGGCGCACGGTCAATGACGACCACGGCAGAAGGGCCGATCCCATACCTCTACTTGAAGGTTCAAGGGTAGTTGCAAGCAGGGTTCATAGTTGAATACCTACTGACTCTCCAAGTGCTTACACAAAGTGAGCACTCACTGGGTTCTTGTCTTTGACCACCGTGGGCTTTTCTAGTTTCAAACCATCTGATCTCATAACGGGGCATAGTGTCCTCCCAACGCCTAAACACTACCCTTTTCCTAGCCTGGCTTTGAAGTTCCGGACCTTATGCGTTAATCCTACCCGAAATGTCGCCCAACACGTGCAGCAGGGCGCTTCACGAGGATGGTCTTGGACAGCCAGGTCAGCAACTGACACCCCACCTCAGTCTTATGATCGTCATCGCTCTTGCTCTGTTCTAACTGTGTACCAATAGATTTTTTGACACCTTTTTCCAACTGCTGAGGTAATCTCACAGCTAGAGCCTTAGTAGGCAGTACCAATAGGGTTCAGGGTTTAGGGTTACTGTATACCAATGTCCCCCTTGTAATCATTCTAAGCATTCTGACGGAGGAAACTTGCAGGGTGCCTGCAAGCCTGCGAAGCTTTTTCCACAGGATAGTGCAACTTCTGAAATCCCATCGAAGGAACGAGAAGGCTTATGACAATCAGCTATTTGCAGCACAATCATGTTGTCTTCTTCTGACCCCTCCGACACTAGAGCTCAAAATGTTGCTCAATTACAATGCCCTTGATACTCGAAGGCACCACCTAGTCCCGGTGTCTGAACCCCAGCATTGAATGGCTGGCCGCCGACTTGCCAATAAAGGCGAAGGGTGCACCCTCGAACTCGCCTCCCTCCTTCACCTGATGTATGTGGGGCTCGGTTGGTTGAGGGCCCGGCTTTGGCACATGGGAATCGTGTAATGGAATCCATCCAGAGAAGTGCTCCCTTGCTGCTGGAGAATTTTTGCCAGAAGCAACTGACAGTCGAAACCAACGAACAAATCTCAAACAATACACGTGCGAACATGCTCGCCAATACAAACTACTCCTCCCGCGTTAACAGCAGAGCAGTTGAGATAGGTCTTCTTGCCAAGCTTCTCCTAGTCCACTTGCTCCGAATGCTCAACCACACTGCGGCGCTATCGGGTTTGTGTATGTATGCAAACAGACCCAAAAGCGGATTTATACACGAGCGCTCTGTGATCCTCTGTGTATTTTCCTCTCGGGAAACATCTCTGTGATCCTCTGTGTATTTTCCTCTCGGGAAACGTCTGTGTCTTCAGACCATGTCGAACCTGGTCTAGCATCGGCGCGAGGTGTTCCAGTGCATCCTTCGCCAGAGCCTGCGACACACGACTGTGATGGTGTGTGGGTCTGTGTTATCGTTGTGGGGTCGGTCATCTGAGCGGAACTTAGAGACATCATCCTTGGCTATATGAGCACATCGTGAACACCGGTACGAAACGTCCGAAAAAAGGGGTGTAGTGCAACGCGCAAGCCTGAGAACAAATCGGCCTCCTAGCCTGATCGCAAGCATACAGCCCTCTCTCGAGCAAGGGATAATTAAGGTATACTGCCTGAAGTGGTAATAATTATAAGGGCCTTAAGAATTAAAATAGGGTTTTGGGGCCCCTTATACTATAATTATGATAAGGAACGCACAAAAATAGTATAGGTAATTACTGAGGCCCCTATATTACTCAATTGCTCATGGGCCCAAACCGAACCACCAGTCTGCTGTTGCGCCCGTGCTGTGCAACTGCCTGAGACGGGATCGACCGGAGTCGCTCCACAAGAGAAGGGCAGTATCGGTTTAGGGTTTAGGGGTTTAGGGTTTCGGCTCTGACACTGCGGCAATCCAGGCGAGGCATAAGGTACGAGGTCTGCAACAGTGAAACAGGGTTTAGGGTTTAGGGTTTGATATATAGGGATTTCTGCTGAGGGCGGTATGGGGTGGTTGTGGTTTAGGGTTTCGACTCTCACTCTCGCAGGCGCAGGCAAGGCTCCTCATACTTTAGGGTTTCGAGCTTAGGGCTGCCATTCCTCCAAAGAACTGCGGAATTGAGACAACCGTGTAGGGCTGCTTGGAGTCGACAGGTTGAGATTCGCCGTAGGAGCGGCCGATGTTCACATCAGAAGTCCCTGTGTCCCAGACATAATGATCGTGCCGTGCCGTCTGCCCCAAAATCTTCATATCGAAGGCTGAGGTCTTGGGTCTTTAGCTCTTGATGTTAAGGCCTGTGTGGTTGAGGATGCTTGGGATGCTGCCTGCCAGTCATCCGCAGGTGGTCCATCCTCCAAGGTCTCTGAGTTGGGAAGGTAACCAAGCAGCCGCAAGTCACCCGCTCTAAACCCAAAATCCCTTTTTCGCTTTGTTTGAGCGGAAACTGCAATGCACTCCCCTAAACCCTAAATCTTAAACCCTTAACCCAAAATCCCAAAACCCTAAAAAACATGAGGCATGTCAGCTTCGGCCGTGAGCAAATTGCAATTTAGATCGCATCGAAGGCCATGGCCAGTTTGAAAGGTTTTGGTGTACGTCTACAGCGGGCGGCACTCAAATCTGGCTTGGGCATCAGCAGATGAATAATGTAGGGGCCTAAATAGCTACCAATACTAGTTTGGGGGTTCCCTCTTATGTTATATAGTATAATCGGTCCCAAAACTCTATTCTAATTATGAAGGTCCCTATATAAAGGGCTTACAGACCATGGCTTGAGCCCACTGAAGCAGATCAAATGTTAGCAGCAGTATCCGCATGTATCCGCATCCCCTAATCGAAATATTGTAGTAGTATACCCCAAAACCCAAAACCCTAAACCCCACTTCAAGCAACGACCTCGAGTGCTCGTTCGCCCTTCGGCAACCGCTCCTCGGCCGCCGCTGGCAGAGAAAGGCCTGACTCGAGGCTTTAGGCTTATGTCCGACTCAATAGTGCTAATCCTTGTGAGCCTCCAAAACCATAATTTATCCGAAAAATGGAAAAGTCAAGGAATTCTAGGTCTGCAGGGAATACAAAAAGATAGTGCAACTAGGAAAAATAGGAGAAACATAGGAATAAAATAGGAAAACTAGGAGAAACATAGGAATAAAAGAGAAGAAACATAGGAATAAAATAGTGGAGAAATAAGGAAAGGACAGGAAATGTAGAGAAAGCACTAGGAAAATATGGAAAAACGCAGGCCAGCAGTGTAGAAAGGAGCGCCGGAAGAGCGGGTCAGGATTCCTATGTTGTTTTCCTATTTTCTCTTATTTTATTTCTGTTTCCGAAAAACCAGGATTCCTATTTTGCCTTAGTTTTGTCCTGTTTTGGGCCATTTGCGATCTGACTAGAGTTAGCACAAGAGTCGGACATAACTTCAGGCCTACACAGAACTACAAGGACGACTGAGGCTGTTTAGGGTGTAGGGAAGGCTCCTGCACTACTTGATGCCATCATCACTGCGACATGCGGTTGATGCATCAGGCTGAGCGAACAGATTCTGAGGGCTTTGTGGTACACTGTATATTTCCTATACAGGAACTATAAGTCTAGAAAGTGATATTATCCTATAAATTATACTATATACCTATTATTCCGACCCCGATATTACACACGCCCTAAAGAAGCCCCTGAGGCGTAATCCGGTACCCCGAACACCTCATGGGAACCCCCAAAACCATTGAACTCTGAAGCCCCAACACTACAGTAGCGATAACCCCAAAGGCTACCTTGTCGATTTTAGGGCTTAGGGTTTTATGGTTTCCCTAAGTCCCAGCCTGGGGCTGTCTCATTGTGAAAAGCACCGGTCCCCATCCTACTGAAACACGGACCCCTGCCTGCTGCCAGCGCTGCCATCAGAGGCCGACGACGCCATGCCGGGGCCACGAAAGAAGGAGCCTGGCAATACGGGGTTTAGGGTTTAGGGTTCAGAGCGTGGGGAGGGGGCGCATGGGGCTTAGGTGTTCGAGGCAAGCTTGTACAGGGTTTTGGGGGTTTAAGGTTGTAGGCTTTGGAAACAAACCATGCTCCCAGTCCCATATGTTCATAAGCCCTACCAAACCCCAAACCCTATACTTCACCCCTCTGACAACTTGGCATCATGGTCCCGTGCTTCAGTCTAAAGGCGATATGATAAGACCTTGTGTTTTTTGAAAACTAGGGCGGCAAAATCCTATGTCCAAAACCCGAAGCCTAAGCTACCGGGGCTTCGGCGAATCTGAGTTTCCATCGCTTCGGCCTACCCTTCCTTCGAAACGGCAAGGCGGCATCTGTGAACGAGCCTCCAAAGCTGCACGAAGCAGCAAAGCTCCCGCTGCTGCGGCCAGGCACCGCGCACGTCGATCCATGTTACTTCAACTTTGGGATCTGCGGCTTTGTGCTAGGCTTGGAGGGGGGTATGACTAGCTCATACTAGGCCTACCGGTATTTTCCTGAGCCATGGTACTCGCGAGAGTCATACTTGACAAAGTTGTAAGGGTCGCTTGTGGATCCTGGGGAGCGATGTTTGACTGTTTGTAGTGTCGTCATCTCTGCATCAGCGACATGGCCAATACTCCTCTGAAGTCGGACTCGGAACTTGGCCGTCTTTGCGCTCTTGGGGGATTTTTTGCATCTGGTTTGCAGCGACTCAACCAGGGGGATTAAGGTGCGCAACCAAAGCTTGTAAAGCCGGTACAAGACGTAACCCTGACGTTTTGGAGGACTTCCATAGACCCCAGCTTGGAAAGATGCCTGAGTTCTTGTAGAATGTAGAACTACTATCACGGCTGACGCCGAACTCGAGAAGTCATACACCGGATGCCAGTCTCGCTTGAACATCGCACAGCTATAGCGAATAGTCTGGGAGAGTCCATATGCCCGAAGTCCCAACACACCACAGAGCATACACCAGATGCCAAAAGGTGCCCGAACCCTGCAACCGTGAATCGACACTCCGGACAGCTGCTAAGGTTGGTGCCACCTCATCAAACTCTAAAGTACCTGGCACGGTCAAAGGGATGGCGGAACAAGCACATGCCAAGCGTTTGCCCTATGTGCATTTGCTTTCTGCAACATGTTCCAGGACGCCAGAACATCTACTGATCCCGGTTGTCCTCCTTATACAACCGGCTTTGTGGAGTATGCAAGAAGCCTCGTGAGATTTCAGCAGCCTCGTTTCTGTGAGTTCGGCCCCGATCAGACCCTTGGCTGAAAGCCCAGAGAAATCGCTGTTGGGGAGACCGCTCTTGTTAATGTCAATCAGGTCCACCACCTGCCACAGCTGCAAGGCCCATGAAACTCCCGACACAGTGTCGTGATTTTACGTCTGCTTGTATAACAGCTTTGAGCAGCAGCCCCCACACACCAGTTTGCAACACTGGATAAACCTCGTAGCTTCGAACCCCATCCGCACACGAAGTCTCAGACGCAAGGCCTTCTTTTCTACGTAATATATGCCTTGATGACAGATCCTATGCTGTCAGACAAGGGCGACTGCGCATGGCATTGCAGGAGCACCTACTTGCAGACTGTAGAACAAGCTCTCGTGCAGAGATCTGAGTCGTCGACCTCTTTCACACGGGTGCGGACAGGAACTATGCCGACGGCCCCCTTGGACGGAGTCGATAGTTCAGACTCACTGCCGGGATGTTTGTGGAGGGCCGGCCATTGTCTGCGCAAACAAGGAAGTACAGAAATGTCACCACTACTACTGCTGCTACCCAATGAGTACGACGACGACGAACCACGACCACGACTGCTGCTACCACTACTGCTATTACTGCTACTACTGCTGCTTGCTGCTGCTTGCTGCTTTCACTACTACAGCAGCAGCAGCTGCTGCTGCTACTACGACGACTACCACCACCCCTACATATATATCACTGCTATGTCATGGAACTCGAGTGTTGTTACAGCCGCTGTCCTTGACAAGCTCCTACTACCTCATGCTCTAAATGGTTAGCATTTCAGATCTTCTGGCTGCCACACGTTATACTTACGGCTCCTGCCCTTCACGGTGACGTTCTGCATGGGCTAGCCTTTTTGGGACTGCGTCTTGCGTAAGCACCCTTGGTCATCGCCAGGTCGTGACCCTCATCCCGGCCCCAAGCCCCATGGAGGCCGTTAGACGGGGGTTTCAAGGGCCTGAAGAATTGGACTGCGATGTATATGTTGACATACATAGATAAGCAATAAATTAAAAATAAACGCACATTATATAAACATATATATACAGATACAGATACAGACGCAGATGCAGATGCAGATACAGATAGAGATACAGATAGAGATAGAGATGACCGTAGATATAGGTATAAGTATATATGTGTATCACAATGTATATATATGGAGAGAGAGAGAGAATAGACATATAGACATACAAACATATGGATATATAGATATAGATGTAAGTATTTATGCTTGTGTGTGCGCGTGTATGTGTGTACATACATAGCTACATACAGTACAGTTATTGATTTACGCTTTCGTTGATTACAAGTAGGAGTTTCCTATTCATCTCGCTCTATATCTGTGTCTGTACACAGTACATATATCTATATAAGTAACATATCATGATATATGTCTACAAGAGAAATACATGGACCATAAGGGTATGTTACGAATTAAGTTTCAAATCTCCACATTAAGCCCCAGGCCAGGTACTGACAAAGCTCCTTCACGGAGACCCTGCCATTCGCATCCTGCGCTTCGGTTGGCTTGCTGGGACCCACACCTGCTAAGGACTTCGAGGCTCTGGGGCAGAAGGGTTTCAGCACTCACTCTCGGACATGCCTTGGCAGAAGGGTTTAGGGTTTAGGGTTTAGGGTTTAGGGTTGGGGATGTGGGAGCGCAGGGTTCTGCAGGCTAGTTCTGCCTAGGTTGGCTCCGCAAGGTAGCCGAGGCCCCTTCATCGGGTCTGATGGAGACACCGCACACACAGGAGCTGGGCTCTTACAACTCGGACAAGACAGACGACTTTGGACCTCGCGACTCAGACGATGCAGGGGAGGCTGGTTCGGTTCGAAGGGCAATGCCAGAGGTTTGGGTTTAGGCTTGGTGACAATGAGGTTCTTTAAGCAGTTTGGAAAAGGCAGTGCTTTTCGGGCTGTTCGTCTCGGGTCTGGTGAAAATTTGTAGGTTCGGGTGCTGGGCTTTAGCCCTTTTCTTGTAAACGCGACAACCCGATGCCTAAACCCTCAGCCCGAAACGTTTAAAGAGTCTACATCGTAAGCCCGAAAAGATCATGCTTCCACCAAGTTTTTCCCAGGAGACCCCGTGGCCATGTGAAGGTGCAGATCTGTACTAGGGTGCATCAAAGTCCGTCGAAGAAGTGGCTACCTATTTGTCATCGTGCAAAGAGCCTATATGGGTAGTTGCCTAAATTAGGGGTCCTTTTAGGGTCCTTTTCATAAGGGTGCCGTACCATGTTGGGGACCAAGAAAGGGACCCTAATTTAGAGAACTACCCATTTTGCAGACCAAGTTCTGGGATCCGGAAGCCGGCCTGATCCATGGATCGGAATATGGCATCCATCTCCTGGCGCCTCAGCCAGCTGGCAGATGGATAGGTAGATAGATGGATGGATAGATAAATAGATAGATAGATAGAGTGGTAGATAGATAGATAGGTAGATGGATAGATGGATAGATGGATAGATAGATAGATAGGTAGATAGATAGATAGATAGGTAGATAGGTAGATGGATAGATGGATAGATAGATAGATAGATAAGGCAGAGGTCTCATTTGGGCGTGGCAGCGTAGCATGGCTTTTACTGGCAGAGACCGAGCGCAGCACTCCTTGTCCAACCACTTCCTCGAAGGGCTTGCGCTTGTGAAAAATGTTGTGCCCTAAACCCTAAACCCTAAACCCTAAACCCTAAACCCTAAACCTGTAGTCTTGCGTGCAAAGCGCGCAGCGGTATTTGGGAAGACTCAGGGAACTTCGGCCTTCGGCTTTGTGTGTGGGACCCCAATGCCCCAACCTAAGGACCGCATGCACCGGCAGTGGATAGTTCTTTTCAAATTAAAGTGCCACAGAATGCTGTGACCCAACTATGCATCCAGACGGCAAGCCCCGGCCCAGAACGTTCAGAATTGCTTCTACAATCATGCACCGAGGCTCTCTAAGATGTCTTTCAAGTCATTCAAGTCCACCTGTGAGTACGGCGCCACCTGAGCTTCATCTTCTGAATCTAGCAGCGCCGCTGACCAAGGCATGACATGCACATCCATGTAAAGGAATGTAAATGGCGCAACATGAAGTGCATCTTCCTTCGCAAACACTGCATGTACGGACGACAAGCATGTACAAGCGGCACCAAAAGCAAGATAAACAAGCAGATGGAGACGTGCGCGTATAACATGTGCATATGTGTGCATATATATATATATATATGTATGAAGGCATGCGCAGGTGTGCAAGAGACATGTGTGATATTTCATACGCATTTCGGGTCAGGTATGCCCACCCGCACACACACACACAGTCACATACATCATACATACATACATACATACATACATACATACATACATACATACATACCAACATACATACATACATACATACATACATACATACATACGTACATACATACATACATACCAACATACATACATACATACATACATACATACATACATACATACATGCATACATGCATACATACATACATACATACATATGTACGTACACACATACATACATACATACATACATACATACATACATACATACAGACATACATACATACGTAAATATTTACATATGTACATATAAAAAAGCATATGTATGCGTATGTATGTAGGTATGCATAATATGTATATTTGGGTGGGGGGAAGCTTTTTTCGGTGATGGTCACCACACTGTTTCGAAAATACAAGTCCAAAAGCCGAAGCTCGAGCCTGCCGCCTCGACAAGTCGACTTTGAGGCTTGTTAAAATGGTCCTACATGACGAAAGTGCTGCAAATACCGAGTAAATGGATGTTGTCTTGACATGGTTCAGAGCAAGTGTAGTGGGAAGGGGGGGGGGTGCCCACTGCCGCACCACTACCAGATACACTACCACTACCACTACCACCACCAACACAACCACGACCACGGCCACTACCACTACCACTACGACTACTAAGACCACCACCACCACCATCATCACCAATCACCAACTACCACCACCACCACCACTGCTCCTACTACCACTGCATGCTCACTGCCACTACCACCACCAGTACCGCCAGCACAACCACCACCACCACGACCAGCACCACCGCGACTCCAACTGCTGGCAAGATGACTGGAAGGTAGACTCAAATTGAAAGGAAATCGGCAAATATCTTGGCCAAGAACCAACATGTTGAGGGCGAAAGCAACAAGAAGCAAGAGTAGTCTGCACAGCAATGTTGTCAGTAACGAAGCGCCCGACTAACCCCACGCAGCTCTGGTATCGGATCAGCCTCGTCCGTGATCTTCGCCACCGCCTGCTTGTCCGGATTGTGGACACCTTGTAGTGTAGGAAGTGGGCAGGGAAGGTCTAGAGCTCTGTGCCACCGGGTTTGGGCTTTGGGAATTTGGGCGCAGCCCGTACGGCGAGAGCCTAATGACCCGACGCAGGCCCTTAAGCGGAGCATCCCAATTCAGAGGACGAGGATTCCAACCCTTCCAAGACATGACGTCATCTCGAGTTTCGGATGCGCTAGGGTTCTGTTTAGGGTTTGGGACTAATCCTTAACTGAAAAGCCTTAAACCCTGAGCCCTAGATCATAGACCCTAAGCCATAAGCCATAAACTGTGAATCATAAGTTCTTAAACCGTAAACCCCCAATCTCACATCTCAAACCCTGAGCCACGCATCACACATCTGCAACCCTAAACCATGAATCATAAGTTTCAAACCTTATGTACCCATACAGAAACCCAACTGACACCCATAAACCCTCGAGCCTCAACACCAGAAGCCAAGCTATAGGAACCCTCAGCCCGAATCCAACCTCAAAGCCTGAACCCTACGCATCGCAAGCTCACCCTGGCTTTGCGAATGAACTTGAGGCTCTAGACGTGAGGCCGCCCTAGTTTAGAATAGGGTTTTGGGGGGGTATTGTAGTAAAGGAAAGGACTTCTGGGGAAGACCATTGCTACTTATATCATTCAACTTATATAACTTATACAGAGGCATCTCGGTTTGAAATTATGCTGCGTCACCCCTCAACTTTCTGGGGTTTTTTGTTCAGGGTTGTGTAAGGCTTCCGGCTTTCACAGCTGGGGCAGTCCGGGAGAAGTGTCTCTAACAGGTATTTTAAGGGGATAACTACTCCGCAAAGGCTAGACTCCACAGATAGCATGATACAATTCACAAGCCATCTCGACTGCCCTGCCAACCACCGACAACAACCAGAAACCAAGCCTCATCTTTTTGCGGTGTCGAAACTTGTACCAGCAGTGGAGCGCTTAATCTCTGATTGCAGGAGCGCAGATGGATATCAACACCATCACGAAAAACGAAACGACTCCGAAGGTAGCATGAGGCGTGTCCCAACGCACGTCTTTGCACCAACTGAGGAAGTGCTCGTGAGCCAAAGAGACAGCAAGGAGCGGCAATGCTGCCGACATCACTACTGCCGCCGAGATCGGGATATCTAACGGACACCAATACCGGCTTCTAAGCCGATATGATATGCGGACAGCTAGCGCGCAGATCATTGGTACCACAGACACCCCCCACGTCAACACCGCTCCCAGTTGCTCCCATCTTCGGTTTCCGGCCGATCGATCCATGTAGTGCCAGCAGACCGGGGAACACATCTGCAGGAAGACTCTGTATGAAAAAGCGTGCTTCACAAGTTTATGCACCAGAGCCGGGCGCATCTCCGACTGCACGTAATTCTCGAAGTTCTGTATTGACCCAAACCAATGAGAGATGCATTCAGAAATGATTCTGCGATCACAAACCACCCCTCTGCCACAGAATCTCTGTTGGCAGCAGGAACTAAGGGCGTCTGACATTCTGAAATTCTTAAGTTGTTCGTCCAGCTTGTCAATGTTGCGGCAAAATACCCGAAGAGTGTGTGCAGCTACAATGAAGCAAGGCACGGCCAAGCCAAGAATGAGGATCCTGCCTGATGCTCCTCCGGCATGCGTCGAATGAAGCAACGCGAGTGTGGCCACGCTGAATCCTACATGGCTCAAGACAACAACGAGGCCCCAAAGTGGCGGAACAGCAGTCAACTTCGTCATATTTCCACGGACCGTATGGAGGAAACTGCTGAGCTCAAATACACACCAAAGCCTGCGTGCGTACGTTGGGTTGTTGTTGTTGGCGAAGACGACAGCAGCCTGGGCCCGAAGGTGGCTAGCTGCCCACTTTCCATCCCTCATCAGCGATCCCTCATAGCCTGGCGCCAAAGCTCCAGGTATGGTTGGGTCGCCGCAATCTCCCGCTTGTGAGCCTGTTCGGCCCACTGTCTCCCTTTTCGCAAGCTTTCCACACGTGCGAGGAATGCTTGGCGATGTCCATCAAGTTCTCGCGTAGCCGCAGCATCAGCAGCAGCGTTCAGCTGCCGGCACATCTCCTGCCCAGGCCAACCAGGAGGAGGTCGCCAACCACCATGCTTGCCATGAGATGGAACCCAGGCTACCGAAATCAAAGGGGCAGCCAAGGAGATGTCTGCCCAAATCAACCAAGGGTCGCCGAGTCGACACGAAGCCTCTCCACTCTGTAGTCTCTGCACCAACGGCTGGTTGTCACAAAGGAGTCGAAGTCGCCGCTGCTGCGAAGCCGCTGCCAAAGCCAAAATGCGCACCGCAGTGCGCTCTGTGCGTACGTTGGGTCCCACAACACGAGCAGCCTTTTTGATCTTCTCAGGGTGGCACTCATGCTCACAGTCCCTTCGAGCTTCTGCACGCTGTCTTCCTGGTTGATGCATGCGATGTCCAGAAAAATCATCTTCCAAGGCCGGTAGCACAGCAGAATTATATAGTATGCCAGGATCCCAAAGCAAGAGCACCATTTGCTCCCAAAGGGCCCCCAATCTGTTGGCAGTATTTCGAACATGACCAGAACATATGCCAAGACGGCGGTGAGGTTGCTGACCAGAAAGGCCGGGAAGCCGTTGCTCAGAATCAGTACGTTCAGATACTTCTGCCATGCTGCTCCCTGCCAGCTGTGGGACCAGAACTCGTCAAGCTCCTTGACAACATGGCTCTGTGCATACCAGGAATTGCAGCTGTAGCCTCTGATCCAAAGCCATGGTATGAGGTGCAGGACCCTGTAGACTGAAATTCCACGAATGATATCGCTTCTCGTTGGTTTGAGATCGACAAAATGAGCAAGGACCTGCTCGTGATAGCTCACTTGCACTTCATCTCTTTGAAATGCCTCGTCTCCGGGGCCTCCCTCGCCATCGATAGAGGCACCAATGCAGACTTGCATCTTCTGCGGGGTCATGCGGGAGTTTCAGAAAATTAGGGTACCTTATTTTGGGGTCCTTATAATAGGGATCTTATTATTTAGGGTACTATATTAGGGTCCCTATTTTCCGGAAACCCCCATGCAACAAGCAGGGCATGGTGTCTTAGACAGTGGACCGCTTGAGCCGAGGAACGGTTCAAAGAAGTTGAGACAGATGCTGCCACCAGGGTTTAGGGTTTAGGGTTTAGGGGTTTAGGGGTTTAGGGGTTTAGGGTTTAGGGTTTAGGGTTTAGGGTTTAGGGACCATAGAATTCATAACCAAAACCACGAAGGATGGAATAAGACGAACAGTTGCGTGTTGGAGCTTCACGGATCGGACGGATCTTCTATTGTCTCAGCTATCTAAGGCCCAAACCCAAAACCCCAAACTTAGATAACCCCTATTATGAATTCTGCAGCCAAGACAGCACGAAGCTTTCCCATACATGCCCGTCCGTTTCTAGGGTAACAGTACTCATCGGAACCCCCAAATGGCCTTGGAGCCCAAACCGTGCGGTAGGTCGAACAGACGATGCATCCCCTGCCCAAATTCCATCATAAACCTCACGCATCCTGCACCCCAAATGTCCATAACCTTCCGCAGGGTTTTGGGTCTAGGGCGTCATCAGGGCCCCCCATTCAAAAAACCCAGCTCTCGGCCCCCTGAGTTTTACCCTGAGCTCTCGACCGAGAATTTCGAGGGCATCGGGGACCAGCTCCTGAGAGGAGATTCAAGGCAAACCGGATCAGCTCGAGCGAATGGCCAGAAGATCACAATGAGCCACCTGCCTGCCTACGTCTTACAGTTTACCTAACTACCACCTTTTGCCCCACTACATAGTGCCTTCATCACAAAGCCATGGCCTGGTCTACTACTGTGCAGAAGTAAATGTGGCCATCGAGCTGCTGCCCGTTTTGCATGTGCGCGTAACGCATGGTGACTTTTCTCCGACATGCTTGCAGTCCTCGCCGTATACCGTTGAGCTTTGCAAGTACTAGTTTCTAGTGTCTGATTTCAAAGTCGCCCGATCTCTATCCGAGCGATGCTGTCTCGCAGCAGCGTGCTGCAAGCCAGGCTATTGCCTCAAGTCGATGGGGTTGACCACGCAGTTGCCACTACTGGACTTTCCGATGCGAGGCGGAAAGAAGAACTGAGGGCGCCGGTTGGCATCGGGTTCGAACATCAGCTCCGATCCGCAGAAGTGCTGAAGGAGAGCTCTCCATCCTTGAATGCGGGCAAAATTTACCTGTATCTTTCGATCTTGCCTGGCGCCAAGCAAGTTGTCCAGCAGCCGCAGGTTTTTGCAAAGGCGCACAACATCCTCCGAGTCCTCTAAGTCTAGGAAGATGTAGCCGCAAGGGCGGTTTCGGGCAGCGTTCATGGGCATGTAATAGAACCTCACCTTGGTGAGCAAATTGAGGTCACGCAGCCGCCCGAGGAAGCGATCCGGCTGGCAGGACTTGGGGATTTTGACAAGCATGACTGTCGTCCGCCTGTCGGTCCCGAACTCCAGTGCTTCCAGGTTGATAGAGAGCATACTAGAGGTATGATTAGACCCGGGAAAAGGCAGAGGTACCTCATGTGCAAATGGACTATCCACCGACACACCCGTTCCAGGGTCTCCGGTCAAGTTCTGGACCAAAGCAGGCACCTGTACAATCTGCTCTGTCCCAGAGATGCCGTCGACTGGCTGGCTCTTGCTGTCTGAGCCGTTTGAAAATCTTGAGGTTGTGTCTCCTTGATCTGCTGTTGTGCCACAACCGTCTGAAACATTGTAGCTGGAGCTTGCCTGCGCTCCCTGTGCAAGAGACTCCTCGTCATCGCTCTCCACATCCTGTTGCGTTGAACTCTGCCCAGCCTCTGCGACCGCAGTTTCAGCTGGACTAACCTCGCAGAGCCATCCAAAGTCCATAAAGCCCAATGCAAAAACGCTTCCTACTGCTAGTACTACTACTACTACTACTACTACTACTACTACTCCTGCTGCTACTACTACTGCTACTACTACTACTACTACTACTACTACTACTACTGCTACTACTACTAGTGATGTGAGATTTTCGGTGTATCGAAGGACATCGGAAAGGGACTTTTGGGTAACAGATGTGGGTCG